AAGGAGCGAGCTTCTAATATCCCCTTCAGCTGTCACTGTTATTTATGGTCTGAAAACTGTTCTGGGAGAAAAGGAATGAGAGCTCCAAAATCAAAGTTTGCAGAATAGCTATTGAGGCAAACTATTTTAACCTCTCATGTTAGTCCTCTAATTTCCTACCCATATTGAACTAAACATGATTTAGAGCAGAGATGGATGCAGAATAGCCTGGTTTAAATTCTATTATGTCCTTGGTTGGATAAATTAATTCTGAAAATAATTCATGATTCCCCAGCATACCTTTTCTTTATTTTTTCCCTAAAAGCCACAGTCAGTTCAATTACAAAAAGCATCAACAGCATATAAGCAAGTCATTGCTTTACATAAGATTTTGCCAGAATTGTTTAAGCAAACACCATGACATTTTTAAACATAAGTAGAAAAAGGATGCAGCATTTTTCAGTATAATGAATTTGTGCACTTAGCTGCAAAGCCTTCAGTTCACCTCTCATGATCACTTCTTTTACTCTATTCATTCACTTTTTACACGGGAAACTCACAATTGAAATTTTGTGATAGGATGTGAACTTGATGCATTCATTTATTTATAACTGTGTTAAAATCCTTTGAACGATTTTATTCCCTGTTCCAGCTCCTGAAAGCCTGATGCAAGCTTTGGAAGATCTAGATTATTTGGCAGCCCTAGATAACTATGGAAACCTTTCTGAAATTGGAATAATTATGTCAGAATTTCCTCTGGACCCACAGCTGTCAAAGTCGATTTTAGCTTCCTATGAATTCAACTGTGTAGACGAAATGCTCACTATTGCTGCCATGGTAACAGGTATTCCTAAAGAATATTTTACTACATGGCACTTGTGCCTACTGTTCAGGTCCTATATGGGCTTACTTTAAGATCCAAAATTATTGTGCAAGAAAAAATATTCCAATTAAACTATTTAGAGGCTATTTAAATTTTGTCTACTCAAAATAAATACACTCAGAGTTGTAGCAATCTTGCCTTTGAGCATGCAGGGAAACTCAGTTTTGTATGAATTTCAGTGAACTAGTGAACTGCCCTGTGCTTCAATTCTGTGCTCCAAACACTCCATTAATTTCTAACCTTTGCTCAGACAGAGCAAAATGTCTCTTCAAAATGAACTTTGGTATTTCATTATACACTCCTATATTTATTTGAAACCAGCAGAGCAAATTAGGGAGATATTCTTGTGGAAAAAAATAATCTCAAGACTATTGATTAACATGGAATACTTTTGTCAGAAAATTTTATCACTTTGAAGAAAACCAAACTTTGTAGGAAAATAAATTTTGATGTTCATTACACGTTATTCTAATTAACTAACATATTCCTGCATAAATGAACTAGCCCCTAACTTTGAACATGTAAGACCTAGAAACATACCAAAGGGTTATTAACCATACAATTCGCTTTC